TCCACAATTTCTGCTTGAGATACAGTCGCATAGGTTCCTAGACAGGTTGATATCTCTGTCCTGGGTCTGCGACTGAAAATACCTGCACCAGAACCAGAAGGTGTTTTTGATCCATCTGTGAACCAATATTTCCTTCTCTCTGAGGATTCAGTCCTCTTTACTCAGAAACAGTATTTTATAAGGCAGCTCGTAGTTGACAGTTAGAGACATGAAGTCAGAGTTTATTTCCAGAATGCTGTGACTTCTAGTGTCAACCAACAGTTTGTTGTCATCTGCAGTAGATTGATTTGTGCAATTGGCAATGTGCACAAGTCTATATGCAGTCCATCTAGCCTGTCTCTCCAGAAAAATGCGGAGAGGAGGTAGATCTTAAAGGATCATCATGGCCGCTGACGGTGTGGTACTGATGGCATCACTGATGGCCAGACAAGCCTGTCTCTGTAAGCCAGTGAGCTTTATCTGGGCCGTTTTCTGTAAAGCCTTTGGCCACCAGGCAATTACTCCATAAGTGATCGTTGGTCTAACAATCAATACATAAATCCAATTGATTTGTTTGGGACCTAAACCCCAAGTTTTACCACACATCCTTTGACATGTCCATAAGGACAGTTTGGCTTTTTCCGAATGAGCGTTCCGTTGTGTTTTTCATCCAGGACAATGCCAATGCCGGAGTGATTGGTAGAATCCAACATGACACAAGTCAATGAACATTTCCTCGGAATGTCATGCGGCTTTGGAAGCTCTTGGCTCCTGCCGAGCGACATCTAAGTTGATAGCAAATTGCCAAAAACGACAATGGGACGACTTAATGAATTGTCTCTGGTCTGGATTCTTGGCCTGGAAGGCAATGAGGCTGCTGACTCCCTTACAAAGGATGGTGCTACAAGCAGCTTCGTTGAACCATCGCTTCAGCAGAATCTTCCAGGAATGGCTTACTTCGAAGCTTGATACCAAACAGTACTTGGACTACAGTAGGGATGATCTACGATGTCTAACAGGCCTTCCTACAGGTCACTTGAATTATCACATGCAGCGACTCGGACTGTCGGAAGACAGTGTGTGTCGCCTCTATTTGGAAAATGATGAAACAGCAGAGCATGTACTTGTGCCTGATCGAATCAGGTTTTTAGAGTTTGGTAAAACACTATTCTACCATCTGACCTGAAAGATCAGTCACCATATTAACTAATTGGTTTCGTCAAGAAGCTGGGATATAGCGGAATAACTATTGGAACATTTGAAAAATTAGAAAAATAATGAATCAACAAATTGATGATGTCTAGATAGAGAATTGAAATACCTATCGAACGAGTTGACACAAAACTTTTCTCTACTTGAATATCTCCTCCGTTCCGAATGTATATAACACCAACCTCCAATCACGCTGGTTGTGAGCCGGAGTGAACAGCATATCCACGTGAGAGTAGAAGATTAAATTAAATATATCAGCAGTTTAGGTTAAATCAGAAGGCGTAGTACCCCAACAAGGACGATATATTGCGAAAGGCATGACTTCTGTACCTCCTCTGTACTTCCCCTGATGGAAGCTGAAAAAAGAATCTAGTGAAGAGAGAAGGAAATTTTTCTTTGTAACCCTTATCGAATACGCTATTATAAAATCCCAGATTTTATATGGGTTCCTTTCATTTTCTCCACATTCTACATCAACAGTTTTTTTTAATTTATTTAAAGAAAGTTGCATCAACCGCTAGGGTTATTAGCAACGGCATAATACAAATGCTTAGTATATGATATTTAAAATTAATTCATATATGTCGTAAAATGTGTATATCTTTGAGGAAAGCTATCAATTGTTCAGTGTCACAATTTTCACCAAGTATGTCTTTCATTGTTTGTGGGATGCGATGAGTGAGTCTGTCGATGTGATATAGCACGCATTCTGTTAGAATGTGTTTTACACTCAGGTCTGTTCCACACACTTCACATCTTGGTTTGTCACCACCTGTTATGAGGTTTTCATGCGTTAAGCGGGTATGTCCCAGTCGCAAACGAGTCAGGATAACTTGGTGTCTTCTGTTTTGGGAATATTTTTCCATGGGAGTACTAATGTTTTCACTTCTGCTAGCTTAGAAGTGGAATTGTACTACTGATGTTGCCAATTATTGTTAATGATTTCTTGTTTGTAGAAAGATTTCAGGTCAATGTGATTTATTTTGAGTCAATGGATTTGAGATGGCTGCTTTCGCTAGTTGATCTGCTCTTTCATTGCCTGTCCCATCATGAGATGGGACCCACATGAATCTGATTACTGCTTGCCTTTGTTTGAGTACATGAAGCTCTTATTTTATGGAAAGTATAATGGGATTTTGGGTGTTTGATTGATTCATTGCCAGAAGAGCACGATTTTGTATTTGGCCTGCATACCGTTGGTATCATAAACTTGTTCTACTAATTGGTAATTATAGGAATAATACTCAACCACTTGTAATGCGTTTGGAGAGAAAATCAGCTATTGAATATTTTGTTCACCCGTCAAGCCTCTGCACCCTTCTTTGTGACAATTTTGTATCACTTTCAGTATCATTTTGAAAATTCAGATCCAATTTGCATGTTTATAAGTCCCTTGCAGAGTATTTATATCTATCAGCACCCTTGCCATAGCTACGGCGATTAACTTCACACATTTCCAATATGATGCATTATGAATAAGAATTTCTGACGTTCATTCACCCAATTAACTTCATCTCTAGACCCAAAATTTTTCCTTACCTATACAGTAGGTTCATGTTCTGACATCTATCAGTAAACAATTACCACTCTGGCTGGTTCCACGAAGAGCGTCGATTATATCCGACAGGCGTCAGTGCAGGACTCTCCACAGAAGAAATTCCTGCATATGCTTTGGGCGATACAACTGCCGCAATCGATTTTCAATTATTGGAACGGAAGCATTTGCAGGCCAGGCCAACTTCGTGCTATTTGGCCTCTTGTCAATGCAAGATGGTGTACTACATCATCAGGACAGAGTTGCCAACCGTAGCGGAATTCCGCTACTGTAGCGGAATTTACTCGACGGCAGCGGCGTAGCGGATTTGAACATAAAGTAGCGAAATTTCCTATAATCAATATTGAACAAAATATGGAAGAAGAAGAGGCAGTGGACATCACTCTCCTTCTTCTTTTCGATTCAATGGCCTCAGCAACTAAGGCTATCCTCAGACAGCACTCGAAGCTGACAGCTAATAATAATAATAATATGTTATAGTCTTAGTACTGAGCCCATTTCATGATGAATGAGAAGAATATTTTTGAATATTTTCATTCATATCATAAACCGTATAACCTCCAATATCTTGAAACTAAAAGTCTCGAGTATTATAACTCGAGCGAAAGATCTATCGTAGTTGGAATTGACGAAAATGGGATATGTTCAAAAAAATACAAAAAGTTTCGGAAAAAAACTTTTTATCAACATTGTTTGTCTGATTCCAACTTGAAAGGATGGATTAGTCCTGTCGCGAATGATCATCCAAGAGCTCAGTGTGACTATACGTACGTGAACAAATTGATTTTTATTTTTAGTTTTCAAAATCATTTTCCAAACTAAGAAATATTTGGTCGAGACGACAGCTTTCAAAAATTAACTGCTGTAAATTTAGAAAATTAGGTACCATCTACTGAGTTGCGCGGTTGAAAATTATCATGATCCTGATTACTTAAATTAGTGACAGTTCAGTTTGGTGGCATCTGAATGGTACACAAACTATAAACTGTAAGTTCTGTGGTATTCAATTTTGGATAGGGCGCATGAGCCAACTGATTACGTCAGATATACAAGCGTAGCGAAATATGAAGCAGTGTGGCGGAATTTTGATTCAAGTGTAGCGACTTTGTAGTTCTACTAGTTGGCAACACTGCATCAGGAAGTCGACGATTTTCCATAATTGAAAATCAAATCATTTCGAAGTATCATACTTCGAACAAAGCTAAAGCGTAGACATGCAACATAACTGTCATCGCCTCCTGTGCTTGTAGACTAGGTACTAATAAACCCCATATCTGAATGGCCCAAATCCGCTCATGAAAAAATACATTTCACCCCTACTTAGTGTATATATGTGAAGACTGGCTATGAGATCAAATCGACCCCAAAAAATGCACACCTACTATAGAAGAAATGTATTTCTTTCCAAGAGAATTTGCGCCATTCGAATATGCGGTTGGTTAGTATCTCGTCTATAGGCAGAGGGAGCGATGACAGATATATTGCTTATCGTTCGCTTCAGCTTTGTTCGAGGTATGATACACTGAAAGAATTTGATTTTTCATTATAGAAAATCATGAAGAACACTGACGAGAGACTATGTAGTTCGAAACCGGTCTGCAAATGTGCGCGTTCCAATAATTGAAAATCGATTCCGGCAGTTGTACCGACAAAAGCATATTCAAGAATTTCTTCTGTGAAATACCCTGCACTGATACCTGTTAGATATAACCCAACGTCCTCCGTGATATTAGCCAGGGAAGCAGCTGTTTTATGATGGGTGTCAGTCCATTAACATACAGTGTAGGTGAGTTGAGATTGACCTGAACGAATTGTTCTTTTAGATAATTTGGTTTACAGCGAGTCTTCAAGTATGCCCACACAATTTGTGAAACAACAAACAACAAACAACTGAGACGTATTACATTTTGAAGAGATAAGTTCGCAACAACATTTTCTTAGAATATTTACAAATGAATAGATTCAAAAATTCGGGTCATTCACTGAATTACCAAATAGAATTAAATAATTCCCTGTTACTGAATAGTCATTACGAATTACTGAATATGAAGTAAGTGCCAAGGAATGTATGTCGTGTAGACTAAAATCAAGAATCTGTCGGGTAGAATAGTTAGAAAAGACCACAGGAAATCTTTCTCTGTTCATCAAGCAACATGAATACTTGTCGCTACCGAGAAGTTTCGGCAATTTGTTCCGTCGACAAAATCCCTCACTGCCAACCAGCCAAACATCTAACCGAATCCTTTACTTTCAGACGTCCCGGAGACAAGACTGGTAGGAATCCCGACCAGCGACGTCGAAGACCTGAAGGATTCGATAGCAATAAGATGCGTCGTCACCGCTAATCCAAAAGCGTCGGTAGTCTGGAGAAGAGAAGGCCAGAATCAGCCGGCTAGCTTGCAGGAACTTTTGCAATTCAGTCCTGCCATCAGACAACACTCCGGACTATACACGTGTCACGCACGTAACAAAGCCGGAGATTCGCAGCCCGTCAGAGTGCAGGTCGACGTGAAATGTGAGTATTATCAGAAAACGAGATAATGGGGTTCGGAGTGGATTTCATGTAAACTGATTCGGGAGTTCTTGCTTTTGTTGAACACCACGGGGCATGATTAAGTTTGATTTGTCTATTATGTCTTACAAAGTTATGTAATGCAATATGTACCTCTTGTTCGGTACTATTCGAGGAAGCAAGCCCTTTTCCCAATCACCAGAAATGTAATACTCTCCTGGAGATGAGAGAAACTGAGTTTTCTTCATCCCCTGGAGATGCCACTTGGTTGGTGAAACCAGCTTCGAAAAAATTATTGCATTTCTAGTGATTGAGAAAACAGGTTGTTTTGAATTCATCCAGAGGTTGTTTGAAAAAAATATCATTCATTTTTCAAAGTAATCTCCTTGCATTTTTCTCAGCGAGGTTCAATAAGTTCTATACCGTTTTTATGATAATAACTGCCTTGCTCCTCATAATAGCCATTAACTACCATCGTTGGAAAATCTTTGACGACTGAGCCATTTTTTAGAATTTGGGAGCAGAAAACAACTCAACGGGGCTCAATCTAGCGAATAGAGTGCATGAGGTAGCAACTCAAACTTTAGTTCGTTAATTTTAGTCTTTGCGATAATGGATTTGTTAGCTAGTGCATTGCCTTAATGAAACAACACTTTTTTTCAGCCAAATGTGGCGGTTTCCGTTTGATTTCTTCACTCAAAAGTTGCAATAAGTTTTCATAATATTCGCCGTTGATAGTTTCACCTTATTCAAGATAGTCAATGGAAATTATCCCACGCGCCTCCCAAAAAAAACGATGTCATGACCTTGGCTGCAAATGAAAGGGCCTTCGCCTTCTTTGGAGCCTGATCTCTCTTTTGAATCCACTGTTTCGATTGTTCTTTTGTCTCAAGTGTGAATTGATGAACCCATCTTTCATCCATGGTTATATAACAACGCAAGCATTCTGCTTTGTTGCTGTCAAACTTTGCTGAACACTCAGTTCAAACATCTTCACGATACTGTTTTTGCTGTAACATTTGAATTTCTTATTTGCTTGCAGTGGGTTAGGTTGTCACACCATGTGAGTCGTAAACCATCATATCCCCAAATATTTGGAAGGCTTCAACATCTTGAGCAATTATCAATGTAGCTATCGGAAACAGAGATCAACAGGCGACCTTCGCACCCATAGTTGGAAAAACGCAATCGATAAACATGGAGAATCAAGGGCTGTTGCGCTTGATATTTCTAAAACGTTTGACCGGGTGTGGCCTGAGTCTTTAATGGTCAAACTTCGATGCTATGGCTTGTCGTATCATTTTTATGTATGTCTCTTCAGCTTCCTGAAACAACGTTTCCTGCAAGTGGCCGTTGATGGATATTTCTGGAATACTTTCACCATCAACGCTGGTGTTCTCCAGGAATCCATATTTTCTTCAACTCTCTGTTTTATTGTATATCAACGACTTATTGGAAAAAATCAAGAATTCATTATATTGCTCTGCTGACGACAGCACACTTTTCTCGTCATTTCATTTGAATTAGGACATCGGCTACGGAGGCACATCTTCACCAGCAGCATGAGGTTGCGTATTTTAATGAGGATCTAAAAGTGATTTCGAATTGGGGTGCAAGTAACTAGGTTCAAATCAATGCCACAATAACCCAGGCATCGGTTTTCTTCAAGAAGATGAATGTCTCTGTACCGGTTATAATAATATCAGGTCAGACAAGTCCGCTTTCTGCTTTGATGAGTTTGTTGGGGGTTGAAATGGGCACCAGTATGTCTGGACACAATCATCTGGAATTGCACAGTGCCGCCGGAATTGCAAAGGCTGCTTCTCGAAAGCTGAGAACACTGTTCCAAACCAGATAACTGTACACACCTCAGCAATTTTTGATGTTTTATAAAGCTCAGATTAGTCCTTCTCTGGAGTAATTGTTCTAATATATGGAGCTCTGCCCCCAAACATATCCTGAAGTTGCTGGATTTCATCAATAAAAGAGGCATTCACCTGATAAGAGACGCGAACATCACGTGTCATCTTGATAGTATGGGGAACATCGAAGAAAGTTCGGAGATTTGTCTTGCTTTCTTAATCGAAGAGCTCATATGATGTTCCTAGATTCGATTCCTAAATGCTCTGCCAGTTTGCCCAATATATACCTCATAATTATGTATAAACGTTGATTGCGAAACCCATTGGGAGTATTCAATTAATATCCTTTCTGGTTCGGAATGTGAAACATTGTCAGTAAGAGCAAATGATGCTGTATCCAACATGCAAACTTATTGTTCTAAGAATGGCTTGATTCTAAATAATCTTAAAACCAACACCATTCTCTTTACAATTCAGGAAACTGATTGTAGTGTATTGGTTAGGTCTGAGATTAAAAGTATTGAACAGGTAAACTATAAAAAATTTTTAGGAGTTTTTATTGATTCCCAACTCAATTGGAATCATCATGTTGATTTCATACTGAAGAAATTAGCGACACACTGTTTCGTTATATGGAATCGCGTAATTTTGTGATAATTGAAATTTTTAAAAGTTACTTTTATGCATATGTTTACTCTGCCCTCAATTACTGTATTATTTGTTTTGACAACTGCAATAGAATCAGTGACTTATCAATTTCCGATTCCTGTAAACCACTTTTTGCAAAGTTGAATAAATTAACTGTTACTTGCGTGTATATTCTTGATTGCGTAATATACGTTAAATCAAATTGCTCCAAGTTTCAGAACAGAGATGATACATGTCTTCTTTCGGGCTTCACCCTGAGAAAAAACTATAACATTTTAATTCCTAGTCATAAGTTAGTCAAGGTGACTAATGGATCTCATATCATGTCAATAAAACTGTACAACAAGCTCCCAATATCCATTAAAAAAAATAACTAGTGTAAAGCTCTTTAAACAAAAAGTTCGGAAACTATTATGTGAAAAGGTATTTTGATCGCTTAATGAATTTTTTCAGTCTGATTTGGAATTTTAAATTTCAATTTTTGAATCCCTTTTATGGTCTAAATGTTATATAGTATGTCTTATAATTAGGTTGTTTTATGATTGTGACCTCATTGTAATTATACTGAGTAATGTGACTTTTTCCATGCCTTCCCTAGGTCTACGGAAATAAAGATTTTTTGATTTTGATTTGATTTTTATCCTGGTTCTATTGAAATATTCATTTTTCAACAAATGCAAGCAATAACACATTGTTTGGAATCTTTCAGAGTAACATACAAACAAGATCTCCAACGGGGGTATAGAAAAATTCAGAAAAGAGTAAAGAGAACGTAACGTTCTCACATCCTGCTCGGGAGTAGTTTTATCCTGCATTCGAAGTAGTTTGTTCTCAGGATTTTATTACCACTCGGATACTGACGTTATAAAGCAATGCATGCATTCACAGAAATGAAGCTGTGGTCCACATTGTATGTTCGGAAAGTTTCCTAATATATTCGGCTGTTTATTATCCTGAAACGACTGGCGTACTGCACGTTCTATATTCTTTCTGTGGAAACCTCTGCAGGATTTATGCTATCTTCAGAAACACTTCATCGCTTTCAGAAATGCAGCCGAGCTGCTTTTAAACTATTGATACTTTCCGTTCTCTTCTATCCGAATGCCTTATTTGAATGAGAACTCCGGAGACGTTCGTTAATTTATCGTGAGTTTCACATTGAGTGCGCTCATACTCGTTGTGTATGCCATGCCAAAAGAGGGTTTCTTCTTAGAAAGTCATTCGTGTAATTCGGCTTATTACAGCAGCTCTGGAATATAAGCCATGGCATGCACTTCCATTTCGAAAGGGAGTTTTGTGTACTTGTGTAATCATTTCATTTCTGTTTCATTTCTGCCTGGGGTGAAATATAACTGGTTTCAAGTTCCTCTAATGGGAATGGTCATCTTGATATATAGGCTGTTTCTTCCAGTATGTGGTAACAGTGCAACATGGTCTGCTTGAAAAATGAGGAGTATTTTCATCTTTCCAAAAAAAAAATCATGAATTCATCAATGTCTATTTTGTCCCTTTAGAAGTTATCCCCCTCAGATATAATACATTTTTGGTATGTTCTCTCAGCTGTCATAACAGCCATTGCGATAGTTTCCGTAAAATATCATTACATTCATTAAGATCGGGATTGGTCACTCGGTTTTTCGATATCATTACTCTTCCAACAGAGTAAGCGTTGAATTCAATTTATGATTGTTGAACCTCATCGGCATCATGAAGATTATGTTTCGTTCGGCTAGACTAAACAAACGTATCCTGTTGATGAGTTATAATACTGGAAACGCAAAAATGAAAGCTACGAGTTTGCATTTCAGCTTCGTGGACAGGAAGTTCGGCCATATCTGAATAGGTGGGTCAGAAAATTAACTCAAAATAAAAACTGACCAATGGCTTCGATGAAAAATAGATATAGGTTTCAAGTAGCTAGAGTTATGGAAAAATTCGGTGAAATTAAACAGCGATCAGACCAATCAGGGGACGGTACAAGGGAGGAGTGTAAGGACCAGTTTTTCGGACATGAGAATACTAATATAATGAGTCGGTTAATTGGCAGAGTGGCGATCGGACAGTTACGGAAGAGGGTCGCAAAACGGTCGCGAAAGTCCTTGGCGGAAGAGAGTTGCGAAAATTGATTGGGGGACAGCTGCGGAAGAGAGTTGCGGGAAGTTGGTCGCGAAAGTGGATTTCAATAGAGAAGTTGTGAAAGTCAGTTGCGAGAAGATTCCTTTGTGATCGAGAGTTTGAATACCAGATGAAAATATTTACAATTATTTACTGTATACTTGATCTGGGGCTATACATTAAAATAAAATAAGCTGTAGAATGCTATTACACTGTTGCCCTTTCATAATCCACTATATCAGACCTATATTTTCAATGAAATCTTCGATAAATGTACATTTATTACACTTTGGAAAAATTCTTTTGAAATTCCTCTCATGAAAAAATGTTTCCCTGAGCAATACCCAGATCTGATACCGCCTTGGTGCTGTTTGACTT